AAAAAAAAAAAAAAATCCAGCCGGTTCCTGACGATTTAACAGGTGTACATCACGGTCTTCCGGCTTAGGAATGTTTTATGGGGGAAGGGGAAAGTTGAACCGTCTTGTCTGTGTTCGGTTACTTGTCAGAGCCTTCATTTTCCTGATAGGACTTTTAAAAAAACGCTGAGAACTTAAGAGCGGACATAAAAATGTGTCTATCCAAATGCATTGTGTCACCTTAAATTAGAGGCAGGTGACTTTTTTCGTCCTAATGTCCCGGGTCCCGATATTGAGTTGAGAACCACCTTGCTTAAATAATCTTCTTTGAATCAACTTGAGGTCAAAAGCAAACCACAGAACCTGTCCCCTTTTTCCTCTGTTGTTTTATCTAGCACTGGCATCAGAGTAGAGAGAGCACTGGCATCAGAGTAGAGAGAGCAAGGCGACCAACCTGGGGAAGTCACATGTGAGCTGATGAACATTAGAGGGCAATTCCAAGTAACAGAGCTTTTCAAGCTAAGCTGAGCTACCTATATGATGTAGATTCAATAAAGCCTGTTTTCGGCAAGCCTGAAAATGGTTTGATTGTAGACATTTTGAAGATCGCCTCATACCTGTTTTCCCTGATTTAGTTTGGATACTGCTGCATGAAAGAGGCCTGACATAGTTTTACGTATTCAAAATATTTGGCTCTTCCCTCTGTTTCGATGTTGATTACTCAGTCATTTGTACTTTAAAAATCTCCATATGTGACCGGCCTGTTGGTCTATTGATTCATTCGGGAAGGTAGGCTGCTTTCCTTATTTATGACCTCAGGGAACTTAACTAGTCTATCTGAAAAGTGAGAGTGGTTTTGTAGACCTTGTCCTGTCAGGTCTCAAGCCACCAAAGAAAACAAAACAAAAAAGGAATAGCTTTTAAGAAGGAACCTCTATTTTCTTACTTAGACAATCCTACTTTTCAGAAATAGACCATTGACAAGTACAGGAGCCTCTGTAGAAAAGAAAGAAGCTCTTAAAGTACTGTATTTTAAAGTTTGCCTGACGAAGCAAGTTTTTCTTTTTCCTTTTTTTTTTCTTTCTTTAAATTACGGGTCTGATTCTTCTCTCTGCTCTGCAGGTGCATTTTTAGAAAATAAACTATTACATATTAAAGTGCCATAGCTGAATGCAAAAGATTCACTTGTGTGAAAGATGAGAATCTTGCTTTCTTATCTAAGCTATACTATGTTTGAAATAACAAATCAGTTTTTTCGTGTGTGCTTTCCTGTAAGCTGCTTAAAGGCTGGTATTTTTCTGGGTAAACTGAGAAAACAGAGTGTCAGGTTACCCTAAAGCATGCTGTTGATATACTGTACTCATGGAAATGGGTTGTGGAGATAATTTTGGAATCACCCCCGCCCTCCCAGCCTATGATTGGGCAAGGTTTTTCTTTTCCTTATAAACATGCTTGTCATTTGAAAGAAAAGAGGCCTAGTAATTGGCATCTGTGGGCCAAATTTACTGGGAAAACTATGTGATCAGCAAAGCCGTTTTCTAAAGTCAAAGTAATAGGTCAAGTTTGCGTACTTTTTCAGAGTAAGCAAAGTTTTAGGGATTACTAAAGACTATGAATTCCGTGACTAACCGAGTTCTTGGAAATTATGTTTATAAATTAAAGTATAGATTATACATCTTCTCTATAACGAGAGTCTAGTCTTTATTGCTTATTCATATCTTGCTCGCCATTAGAATTGTAATTTTTGGTTGTTTTCTCATCCCAGATTATCACCATGAGGTATATAAGATCTCAGAATTCAGCAACGATGTTAATGGGGAGGCCAAAGAGACACAACCCATTTATTTAGGTAGGTTCCTATGTCAATTAATTTCTCAGCAAAACAGTGTGGCCATTTGCAATTAGGGGGAAGGGAAAAAAAAAAAAAAAAAAAAAAAAAAAAAAAAAAAAAAGATTGTGCCAGAACGGGAAATGTCTGCCATTGCTTAATGTATGACATTCTTTTCAAGACCTTTTATTTTACAGATTGCCAATATATCCCTTATTAACATTGCTAAAAGTTGTAATTTCAGACATAAATGTTTATTAGTGTCTACACACAGTGCTAATTATCGCTCACTCCCAGAGCCAGATGCTGACTGAGCAGTTTTGTCGCTCTGTGCTCACCCCATTTCCATTGCATATTCGCTGGCATGCTTCACTGGCAATAGTTTGTGTAATTGGGGTATTACATCTTTGACATCTGGATAACAGAAATTCAATTTCCAGGAAGCCGCTATTTGTTTGGTTTTGCTTCTGCCTTGGGTGGGATAGAGGATTAATATGCTGTCTTATTATAATGTCCCTTCACCTCTGTGGCCTGGTTGCTAATCCTGCCATGACAAAATTAAATTAAATCTACAGTCAAAAAAGCGTAAGGAACATCAAAGTGCGATTGTCCGCCCAACCACCTCTTGATAGCTCCAGCTCTCCCCTTCCTGGATTTGTGGGCATTTCACACCAATGTTTTTGGTCAGAGGGACTAGCCATGCTTTGTCTTTACCATCCTCATTGCCAACTCACCTCAGGGTCAAACGGAGCCAAAGCATCTCCTGTGAGACCCATCGGACGAGGGTAGCCGCCTGGTGAATGAGCAGGTAGTCCAAAACATTGCCACTCTTTCCAAGTGCAGTGTTTGCTACAGATATCATACGTGAAGGACCTGGCACGTGCAGCTTGTCAGTTGCAGACCACGAACCAACAATTAAACAACTTCAGATTTTGCCACTAAGAGTTGCAGTCCCCCTTAAGTAAGAGCGGAGAGCAAATGGTGGCTTGTGGCTTCACCCTTGCCCATCGCGAACACCTTCACCACCCCAAAAGTAGGTTGAGAGCGGGTGCCGCACAAGAAGGGAGCAGAAAATGGGAGACCGTTGGGGCGAGAGTGATGAAAAGCCGAGGCCAGACTTGCCAGACCTCTGGTGAGAATTGAGAGCAGAAGGAAGTAGGATTGCTGTTCAGACCCAGTGTGAGGGGTACTGAAAAGCCGAACAACGTGAAAGCCAGATGGCGTAGTATTCTGTCACTGAGATCTCTCTTTTTTTGCTTTGAGGAAGAGAAAGGGTGGGTTGCCAAAGGACTGAGAAATCAAATGGATACTTGATGGAGGTAAAATAGGAGGGGAGTATCAGCACGTCTTACATATGCAACCACTGAAGGCGCATAGATCTTTCCATCCTAGGGGAGAATATTACTGAGGCCAGCAACTACACTCACCACCTGTTTACTGTTAAGAGGACTAAAAACCAAAAAGTTAATAGTCAAGTGAAATGCTATGACCCAGAAGGAGAATATTCTTGGATTGTACTCTCTTTAGTTCCTTAAACTTAATGAGTTGGAATTCTGTACTTTCCATTCCCTAACCTTATTGGTTCGAATTCTGTATCTAAGTACCACTCGACTTGGCCATTTGAAATGAGGAATTTGCCTATTAGTAGAAAATTTACATTTATCGTCAAAATGTAACATCATGTCCTTGGTTCAGTTAACGTCCAACAA